TTGAGTATGAAATCATTTGTGTATACCCTAATTTTTAATTAACCAAACAGAATAGGCAAGTGCTAGCTGGGTTCATATAATCCAGGTTAAAAATTCAACTTGATATTAAGTTAGCCAGGGAAGCTGTTTTGTGGACAAATGTATGGTTTTGGCTGGCCTTTGAAATATGAATACTCATGGGCCGGGGATTTAGCTCAGTGGTTTTGCCGCCTGCTGTGCAAGCACAAGGACTCGAGTTTGATCCCCGGTACCAAAAAAAAAAAAAAAAAGAAAGAAAGAAATGTGAATACTTGGGCCGGGGATGTAGCTCAGTGGTTCCAGCGCCTGCCGCGCAAGCTCAAGGTTTCGAGTTCGATCCCCAGTACCAAAAAAAAAAGAAATATGAATACTCAAGCTATAATGTTTAAATTTTCACTGACTCTCACTCTAAAGTTTATATACTTAAAATATTTCAGTGATATAGCTTGAGCTCATGCTGTCTCACAAATTATATGTAACTTGAGTTTCCTTTAAACAGAGGTAAACACAGAAATTCCACCTTCAAACATACCTTTCCAAGCATTTCCTCACACTCAAACTCTCTAAGGTCAATTCAGACACATACTAACCATAAAGTCACACTGAAACCCATTCTTGGTTCTTACTTTTAAGCTTGTATCTCATACTGGGACAGAACATCAATTGAGCACCACTGTGTACCTGACAAGGGCAGTGCTAGAGATCTAAAAGTGGGAGAAGATATTATTCTCATTCTTCATTCAAGAAATATTAATTAAATATCTGTGGTGTACCAGACAGCTCTGTTATTATATATAATAGAAACAGAAGATGACTGCAAATTGTGATATGCATTATGAAAGACTGATAATGAAGCATCACGAATTGGATGGCTTAGAATGACAGAAATGAAGTCCGTCTCTGCCAAAATCAAGGTGTCAGGGGCTCAGAAGGGCCATGTGTTCCTTGCTTCTCTCCTAGCTTCCAGTGATTGCTGGTGATCCTTGCTGGTCCTTGGGTTGCAGCTACGTCAGGCAAATCTCTCTGCTCTGTCATCACGTGGCTGCCTTTCCTCTGTGTCTGTGTCTCTTTTCCTTCTTGTGTTTGCTTGTGGTGCTTGAGATGGAACCCCTACCAGATTGACAATAATTTAAAGTGTAATCAGCTGGGTGTGGTGGCACACACCTGTAATCCTAGCACTCAGGAGGCTAAAACAGGAGGATCGCCACAAACTGGAGGCCAGCCTGGGCTATATAGCGAGACCCTGTCTCAAAAAACCAACCAAACAAACAAACAAAAAAAGTGTAATGAAAAATCAAATGTGGTGAGGATGTAGAGTGACAGGAACTGTCACACGTTTATGGTGATGATGTAAACTGGAGTCATTACTTTGGCATGAAGTTTACCAGGACTGAATAGAGCTGAAGATAGCATTCCCTATTGCCTTCCTTATTTATATATCCAGTAAAAACAGTGTATGCTATCGTGTGTCAGGATGCATGTATAAGAATGAGAAGACTTGTTGGCAATAGTCTCAAACTGGAAACACCCTAAATATCTGTAATAGAGTAAATAAGTTATGGATAGAATATAATGGAATATTATTATATATCAATAAACCAGAATGAACTCTAGTCACACACAATGCAGATAAATATTAAAGTGTAATAATGAGCAAAAGAAGCCAAATATCATAGAATGTAGACATTTGATGCCATTTATATAAAGTTCAAAACCAGGCAAAATTAAATCTTGTGGTTTAAGGATGTGTAACCAGGAAATAAAATTTATTTACTTATTTATTTATATTTTTGTAATGCTGGAGACTGAACCTTAGGGCTTTACACATGCTAAGCAAGCATGTGTAAACTCAGTGGTAGCACTGAATTATATCCCCAGACCCAGGTAACAACATGTAATGAAAGTCAATAAAATGAATGACATGCCAGGGATTTAGCTCAGTGGTGCTGCTGCCTGCCTCCTGAGTTCGATCCCTGGTACCAAAAAAAAAAAAAAAAGAGTGACATAGAAGTCATTATCTGCAGGAAGTGTGCAGATGTGATCTGCCAAAGGACACGGGGGAAAGAGCTTCTGGGGTGCTATAATGTGGATTTTACAACAATATGTTAAGTTGTGTTTGTGTTTTCAGCACTTTTCTGTGTACTTGTTATATTTCACACATATGTACAGGTGGGTACCTGGATGTTGGAACCAAAGGAAATGGCCACATTGTAGCCATCTGACTCTGGACACACTCCTGAAGGGACAAAATGACTTAAGATCCCTTATGACACAAAAAGTGTGAATCTCTCCTTAAGAAATAAATTGGTTTTTAATTGAATGGAAACTATGAAAAAATTGCTGGCATCTAAAAGACCTTTATTTATCCAGGTGCGGTGCTATAAAATAGTCTAATCTACCTTGTTAATGAAGCTGACTTTACAACCTAGTAAACTAAACAAAAGCCTTATGTTTAGCTGATGAATAAGTTGGGGCTAAAATCTAGTCTACTTATATGGCATTTTTCTTTTCCTTTTTTATTTCCTTCAGTCTAGCATGAAAAAAGATGCTGGCTCCCTTGGTGTGAAATTTTTTTATTGTGAGTCTGTCTTTATCCATGTGAAATGCAAACTTCTACCTTTGTGAAACTTGTGCCAGACAATTGAAAGAGGTACTTATGATAATAGCAATGACTTACACAGAGTTCCAATTAAGATCCAAGCACTATTTTAGGCAGTTTATAGTTATTAAAACATTTTGATAAGTTACTCCCATGTTTGGCTAAGCCTCTCATCTTTTGAAAAGAATTTCCTTAATTTGCAGCACAAGATATTATAGGCTCATGTTGTATCTTTCCTGTCCTAGCCCTGCAGTCTGTCATTTTCCCAAGGAGTGCTAGTCTGTTTGGTAGAGAATGATATTTAGAAACCAAAATTTAGTCTTACCTATTGACTAAATAGGTGCCACTGTTTTCAGGCCCTGTTTACGGAATCAAGAAATATGTACACATACTCACACATACTTACATGAACACATATATGTATCTGTATCTTTTTTTTTTCTTGAGACAGGGGTTCCCTTGGCCTTGAACTTGCCATGTAGCTTAGGCTAGGATCTAATTTGAAATTCTCCTGCCTCAACTTCCCAGGTGCTGAGATTAGAGGCCTGTGCTGCTACATCTGATTTCTATTTTTATATTTATCTCTATTATAGCAAATACTATGAAGTCATACTGACAACTTCAATTCCAATTCAACAATACAGTGTTCTTTCAAGCTTTCCTCCTTTCCATGTTTGTAATTCCAGCATTGAGAATCTATTTTTAATCATTTTAAATGTAACTGATTTAAAATGAATGTATTGTTTACAAATTTGTTTCCCACTTGTATTGATTTTTGTTCTCTGAGAACTCTAAAAACTTCAGAGTTTTCATTCATTTTCTCCATCCAATCAAAAAATATGAATCAAGCAAGCACTCTGAGTCAGATAATGTTCTAGGGCTGGGGATACAATAGTGAATAAACACTGTACTAGGAGAGGAGTGGAGGAAAGAGAAAAGATAAAAATCTGGGAAATGGCAAAGCTGGGATCTGAACCCAGACAGGCTGGCTCCAGAACTCATGCTATACCATCTGCCTCCTACAAAAGTTTACAGCTCTCTTGTATCCAATAAAATTGCCTCTGTCTGTTTCTAAATCTACACAGTACAGAGCTTTGTGCATCTTCCACACTTCCTAACTTCTCTGAGACTCAGTTTCCCATCTATAAAAATGGAGAGATGCAAATGTTAACCTGCTGTGAGGATAAGGGAAATTAAGTGAGGTGCCTGATCCTGTTTGGCATACATCATAGGTATCTAATGAAGTTAATTTTCCTTTCTTTTTCAACACAAATACTGCACTATGTAGTTTGCCCAGAACGAGATTTTTCTTTTTGTAATTAATTTAATCACTCACTTATACATCCACTCATTTTTAAAGCCATTCATTTCAGTTCAACACGGAAGACCATACTGCCCAAGGTCTTGGGCTCTGAACTGGGAGTGCACAGATGAAGAAAGCGCAGCCCAGGTTAAGGAACTTCTAGATCTACTGGTAAATAATATCTGTTTATTTTGCACATTTAACAATGTGTTTTCAATACACAAGGTATCAAACACTCTGAGGGTGGGTCAGCTTGTGAGATAATGGGGTGGGGACAACTCTAAAATCTGCTAAGTAGGCTTCCTAAATGAGTACACCATTGAGGTTTAGATATATCCTGTACATGAATTGGAATCATTGACAGCTTATCTGAGGAATAAAATGGCCAAATTTATATTTGTTGGTAGGGTGAAGGATGGGGAAGAAATCAATGATGCTAGCAAGGAGACCACATATGTGAATAGAAGATTTGAGGTAGACCTCTTTTATTGGGAGATGTAATTTGGCAATGGTTGCCTATTACTTAGGGAGGCCATATAGAATGAAAAGTGGATTGCTGGAACCCTTAGAAACAACATTCTTTAAACAGCTGACAGAAAAACATTAAAAAGCATCCCTTGAGGAAATCAAGAGAAGACTCAGAAGAGAATTAGGAAAACACGATGTCACAGGAGTAAGATGAACAGAGAACAGGATAAGAAAGATAAGGAGAACGGAACTATTGGGTAGAACGCTATAAAAAGGTCACAAAAGCGTCTACTTGATTTGGCAGTAGGTGACTTCTGCCAGAGCAGTTTCTGTGTCAGTGTTGGGGGCGGGAACTCCGCTGTAATAAATGACTGAATGAATGAGTAGAAATAGTGAAGGAATGCATAAATCCAGGGCTCTGCTCTCCCTTTCCCTGGAGTTGGTGCAGATGAACGGCCTTCCGGACGGGCTCTTGATGCCACCTAGGAAACTGCCGGCCTCACCACCCTTAAACGCAGCTCCAAGGTCAAGGTCACCTCAGGACTCTGGGCAATCTGTTACCTTGACTACCAACAGAAAAAAGACCGGAAGGGACGGAAGCCACGGGGTCATCTCGCGATATCTGGAGGGCGGGCGCCAGCCTTCTGGGCTTGCAGCCTTGGCCGGCTCTCGCGAGACTTATCGGGAATCGGAGTTCGGGAGCCGGCCGTGAGGAAAGCGGGAGCCGCGGGTGGGGAACATGTCGGAGTCTGACCTCGGCAGGAAGTGGGACCGGTGCTTGGCGGATGCAGTCGTGAAGATAGGTAAGGGCTTCTCGTCCCTGGCAAGCCCGGCCTGTAGCCGAGCAGCCAGGAGGGCGGACGGACAGGCGCGGCGTCTCGCCGCGCGGCCTGCTCCAGCCTTGGTGGTCAGGGCGAGCTGGGGCTGGGCGCTGATAGGAGGTCACTCGTTCGGCGAGGGGCACAGGCCGAGGAGCCTGCGCAGCTGCTGGGGCGGGTGGCTGGAGTTGCAGCCCCGGGCATTGTGGTCGGGGTGGCAGGTGGCAAGAAAGTCGGGGAGCTCTTCAAGGGGAAAACTGCAGGACGCGTCCTCGTGTGCTTTGGGCTTGGAATTCTTGTTGCCCCTTCGCCCGGCTCGGGGTCTGGAGCCTGCTCAGGAGGCCACACTGCCTCCCAGCTGAAGCAAAAGTACCCTCTGAAGAAGGTCATCCGGAGTGTTTTATAGACACTGTCAGGCCCTTATGCGAATTGCTGTTGTTTCCGATCTGTCTCTTCATTTACCGGAATCAGAGCAGTCTGGGGCGCGAAATAGGAGACAGTGATGATGATCCGGAATGAGAATTGCCATGGAGAGTAAGAGCTTCGTCACTTTTCAGTCCTTGGTGTAACTCCGGGTTGTCTTTTGCCATGTGCTCAGTGACAATACAAATTATGAAGTCGTTGTGTATGTGTCTTGTGTCTCATTGATTCAGCGTGTGCGAGATGCCTGCACTGTGTCAGATGCAGCAACTTAATGCATTATCATAAATAAGCTGTTACAGGTATGAAGTGGGCAGTGAGGTGTAGGAATTTGCCCAGAATCACAACATTTAACCTGGCTTTTCTGGTTCTGAGAGCTTTGGCTCCCACGTTCACTCTTCCATACTACTTTTTTTGGTACTGGGGATCAAACTCAGGACCTTGTGCTTGTGAGGCAGGCGCGGTGCCACTGAGCTAAATCCCCGGCCCTCTTCCATACTGCTTTTTATTATCCATAGTTGACTTTTGTGTATGGAAATCTTAGGATATTTAAGAGAACCTAGGATTGTGTCTTTGAAAGTGCTGGGAAGAAAATAAGATAGTACGCTCCATGAAAGCAGGGATGTTTTCTGGTTTATTCTCTGCTGACTCCCCAACCCCTAGAAGAATGTACAAATTGTTAATGAGTCAGTAAATGAAATAATTTATCACAGTTACTATTTCACTCCCAAATTCAGCACTTGGGAGCTCTGTAATTTGGGACAAGTTAACCTCTCTGTGCTTGTTTCCACATTTATAAATTAGCAATAATAATTACTACTATCTCATAGAGTTGTTGGGAGGATTAAATGAGTTCGTTTATAAAGGTTTGAGTGTGGCTCACTAATTAGAAATTGGTTGTTCTGGGAGTGACCCCAAAATACGACTTTTGTGTTAACACTTTGCATTTAAGAGAGAAGTAAATACTACTTACTAAATAGTATGATATAGAGGTTTAGAATTGGCTTTCTCATAGACAGAGCTGAGTTTGAGTTACCCACTCTCTTTGTCCTCATCCTCACCAATGTTGTAGCTTTGGGTAAGATCTCTTTCTTAGCTATGAAACGGGCATAAAGATTTACCTAAGGAATTAAAGACACTAAGGGACATTTTGAAAAATACATAAAATACCACGATGCCTGGCATGTATTATGTATTCAAGAAATGTAGTAATACTGTTGACATTAATGTGGTGCCACTGGTGACCACCTGAGGCAGTGAGATGGAACCCTGTGGTTCTGAGTGGAACACTGCTGCGGGTTGGGGCATACACATGTGGAATGATAAAATGAGGCATGGTAAGATATTACTACAGAGCAAAGTAAAAATGAGAGATTCAGACTTTAGTCTGCTGTAGAGCTTTTGTATATCAAGCAAATGGAAGAGTTGAGTGCAGCCAATAAGATATTGCAAGGGAAATGAGCCTTCACCTGGCCTTTGTAGAAAGGCATGGACTTGGATAGTCAGGGAGAATGGCAGAGCCTAAGCTGAAGTCATGTTGAACCTTTTTGGAGGAAGAAACTGAAGCATGGAGAGGTTAAGTAGCCAGAGGTAGGGAAACTGGGGCTAGACCACAGGCATTCTAACTTCAGTGGCATTATTCACTGAAGAAAAGAGAGCTCTTTAGGTGAAGTCTGGACCATGAAGGGTCTTAAAGAGATTCCATTTTATCTTAAAATAATTAAGAGTTGCCTTTGACTTTTTCACGTGTATTCTGCATATTCAGCATCTCTGCATTAAAATCTATTGCTTCCTCTACATGTAGGCTGGTGGGGAATCATGGGATGTTTTAAGCAACAAATATTTATTCCAGTATGGGCCATTCAGTGAGGAGATAGAGAAACATAAGGCATTTTACTACTCTCAACAGGGAATTGATGTGCTGTAAGTGGAATTTTGGTATGATTGTTCTGGCAGTTTCTATACAGAGTGAATTTGGAGTAGAGGAAGCAGGCAGTACTGTGTATATGAGGTGATAAGAGATTGAACTGTTAGACTGGAAAGGAAATGGGGGTATTTGAGAAACTTCAAAGTTTTTCCCATTTATAAAATGGAAATAGTAGTATCTCACTTAGGCCACTCAATGCCAGGCATGCAGCAGGAACTCAATAAAAGTGTATATTCTCTCTCTCTCTTTCCTGGTTAACTCTTCTTCAGTTCTTATGTTTTATATTTATTTATTTATTATTTTGGTACTGGAGATCGAACTCGGGTCCTTGCGCTTGTGCAGCAGGTGGCGAAACCACTGAGCTAAATCCCGAGCCCTTTTCTTCATTTCTTGTAGAGATGACTCCAAGGTCATGTAAGTACTGATGTTATTGATTAGCATTTGGAAGTTAATGAAAAAGGTTATGAGCAAACTTCATCACACTGTATGAGATAGGAATTGGCTAGGTGTAGTGGTGCATGCCTATAATCCCACCATTGTGGGAAGCTGAGGCAGGAAGATCACAAACTTTGAGCCCAACCTAGACAATTTAGTGACTTAGTGAGACCCTGTCTCAAAATAAGAAATAATAAAGGGGATGCGGTTGGGATGTAGTTCAATGCAAAGGCTTTGGGTTCAATCCCCAGTACCACAAAAACAAAAACAACCAGAAACTGATTGCATGAAATGGCAGGAGATCAGAAGGCTGTAGTGAGAAAAGTTATGATTTGGTTAGTTTTCTTCTTAGTTGAGTGAGAGTGATCAAGGAAAACTTGAGAAGGAGGTTTCAATTTTGAGGACACAATGAGTTCAGATTTGAGTGAATTGTCCCTTCAAGATTGGGCTTAGAGAAAGGACACAAGAGTAAGAGAGAGAGAGAGAAGGCATGGAAAGCTTTGTTTGGGTGACCTTTTATGACCATGACAGTGAATGCTTTTCTCTTGAGTGTTGCTTCCTGTTCCAGCGTAGGTAGTGAAGTTCTGAAACTCCCTAAGGCTTTTTGGCCCTTTGCTTTTCTGGTACTTAAGAATGAAGACGGAGTCTCAGGGAATGGAGGTTTGGTGGAGGTAGGCAAGGAAAAAGGCTTTCAGCACCATTTTGACGGTTCCTTATAATGACTTTGCAGAAACTATAGGGAAACTATGTTGGGTGGACAGGAACTTTTGTGAGATTTCCCTGTTTGCTTCTCTTACACAAAGTGTTTTCAGTCTTTTTCCACGGTTTTTTGTTTTGTTTTGTTTTGTTTTTTTGAGAGGGTCTTGCTATATAGTTCAGGCCTTGAACTAAGTATGCAGCCTAGGCTGGCAATCCTGCCTCAGCCTCCACACTGAGCTGATTGCATATCTTCAGTGTAGATGCTGTATTGCTGAGTTGGGTAGCTTTCTTAAGTATGTATCTTAGGCAGTCGTTCTTTTTTTTTTTTTTAGGCAGTGTTTCTTTTTAAAAGTGTTCCTCAAAGATCTTCTTTGAATAATATCTGAATAGAAAGTTCTCATATCCTGCAGGGAGAGATTTATCTATAGCTATACCCTTCCTTCTATTATTATCTTAAGAAAAATAGTACTGTTTCCACTGTTAATTTTGGTGTTGAAATACCTATTTATTTTGTATTTTGTGTGTGAAAGGAAAGGTGATTTTATTATTATTTGAGGCAATAAATTAGGACCATGGATCAAAAAAACCCCCATTCCTCCCTGATTTTGAACAGGAGTACTGAGTGATAGGCCCAATGGGCTCTTACCCATTACATCCATTTCTGTCTCTTCTCTCTTGCAGCCCTTGTTCCTTTCTTTTCCTCTCTTCTCCCAAATTTTTTTTTTTTTTTTTTTTAGTGGTGCTGGAGATGGAACCCAGGGTCTCCAGTTCTGCCACTGAGCTACATTCCATGCGTCCACTTCACATTTTTTTATCCCTCTCTTTGACCTGTATTCTTACTCCTACCACTGCCGCTCACGTGCATTGCCTGGTTCATCCATAAAGTTTGAGATTATCTATTTTTTAATAACCCTATTCACATTTAAGAAGTTCCTGAGTGTGCTGTATATTCTCTTATTACATCATTCATTTTTCTTAATAGCATATATATCACCTTCTGAAATTTGCAGTTTCTGTACTTGATTGTTTTGCCTCATTAGAATGCAAACTTCATTAAGAACTAGACCGTTATCACTTCTTGGCCTTTTGGCTAAGATCAAGTGAAGAACTAGACTGTTTTGTTCACTGAGCCCCTCAACCTGCATGGTCAGGGAGGCATCTGATAATGATTGTCAAGTGAATGACATGTATTGCTGAGAATTTGTTTTCTGCCTTATTTCCTACTTAGTATGCTTATTAACTGAATGAATTAGCATTTAAATTAAAAAGTCCAAGTAGATTTTATGTTAATTTCTGCCAGTTCGCATTTGATCATGTGTCCTGGAACTCTTAGGAATTTTACCAACTTTTTATTTCACTGGGGGATATAAATTGATGTCAGTAGAACTTAATAATAAAGTTTTGGAAATATTTGGGAGTAGTCAACCAAGAAACATAAACCAGAGATCACTTTGTATTTAAACAAGTACGTAAAGGGTGAGGTTGGTTTGAGCAGTAGTGCCAA